TCATTAATTTGATTGTGAAATCTGGTTTAAAGAGATTTAAAACTTACACGGAGGATTTTAGAACTGCTATTAACTTCTTAAATTCATCTAATCACAGAATTGCTATGTTTAAGAATTATTGCAATGCTCAGGGTGTTAGACCTAGAAAGTTTGGTTTAGATATGGATGTGAGATGGAATGCTACATACCTTATGCTTAAACACTTGCTACCTTACAAGGAGGTTTTTTCTGTGTTCATTAATGCAAATTTTGGCTGCACATTGTTGACTCCAAGACATTGGCTCATTGCTGCCAAGATATTGGAGTTCTTGAAATTATTTTATGAATCAACATGTGTTCTATCTGGTGTTTACTATCCAACTAGTCCACTAATTTTGCACCATATGCTTGACATTGCTCATCATTTGCATGAAAGTGAAAAAGATCAAAATCTAATGGTTGTTGTCTATCCTATGAAGCTTAAATAACTTAAGTATTGGGAAAATATACCTCTATTATATTCTATTGCTTTCATTCTTGATCCTAGAGCTAAGTTGAGAGGTTTGTTTAATGTGCTGGTAATACTTAAAGAGAACATTGGTGTTGATTACAATAAATATTATGCTGATGTTAAAACTGAAATTTACAAGTTATTTGCCAAGTATGATAGCAAGTATGGTTCTACAAGGTCTCAAAGGCCTGCACATCCTGCAGTCAACTCAGGTAAGAGGAAACAAGCATGGGGAAGGATCTTTGGCGGCCCTGGATCATCAGCTGTTGTTGGTCCTCCTCCCCCTGCCTCTATCTCCACTTCAACTCAATCTGCTGCCTCTGTTGCTTGTGAGCTCACAACTTATCTGGATAGTGACAATGTCACTACATATGAGGATGATTTTGATTTGCTTCTCTGGTGGCGTGACCATAAACTAACCTATCATGTTCTTTCTATAATGGCAAGAGATATTATGGATGTTCTGTTTCTACTGTCTCTTGTAATCATGTTTGCTTTTAACGGGAAGGATTATTGAGGAGCGGCGCCGAAGACTTCTGCCTGAACATGTGGAGATGCTTGCTTGCATCAAGGACTAGGAGCTGGGTGATAGAAGACTTCAACATTTTGCTAACAACCAAGAGCTGGCAGAGTCCTTTGAGAATCTGTATCTTGATGTTCCTGAAGATGGATTTGGGCCTTCTTCTGCTAGCACATCTGCAAGTGCTTCTGTTGCTTCTGCTTCTACTGCTACCTGAGAGCTGAGAGTTGAGAGTTCAGTTTGAGAGAGTTGAGATTGAGACCTATGAGGTTTGAGAGTTGAGACATGATGCTTGTATCTGGTATTTGTATTGTGAACATTTGAACATTATAAGAGCTGTGCTGCACTCTTTTTTCCTTTCTGGGGTTTCTCACAAGGGTGAGTTTTACCCAAAAAGGTTTTTAATGAGGCAGCATTGCACACAGCTCATTTCTATCTTTAAATCTCTATCTTTTGTTGTGTTTGAGTCTTGCTGTTAAGTTGTTTTTGTGATTCTGTGAATGACTTGTCAAAATTATGAATGTGCTGTTGATTAAGAATTTGATGAGCGATTTTCTACATTTCGGTTGTGGGCTGGCACGGCCCGCAAGTTTTGGCCGGGCTGTGCTGGCGGCACGACCTGAATTTTAGCCCGAGGGGCCGTGCTTGGGCTGTCAACGGGGCACGAGGCCCGGTAAGGCACGGCACGGGGGGCACGGCGTGCCATGCCGGCCCGACACCAGCGTGCCATGCCGGCCCGACACCAGCGGGCCTTGCCTGGCCCGTGCCCGGGCCGTGCCGAGCCGGGTCGGCCTAATGGCCATATATAGTGCTCGTTGATGAAAGTCCACTGGGAGTGAATCAGAAACTGTGAAGCTACGGCGGGAGACTTCAGACTTCAAAGGTTTTTAAGACTTGGGAGAACTACTGCTACTCGAGAGGAGACTACTACTGCTCCATCCTAAATCGTAAGACGTTTGATTCCACTCGTCTTATTTAAAAAAATTTATGCAAATATAGTCAAATTTAAGTCATTCTTAAAGAATTTTTATTAATAAACCAAACCACGACGAAAAAAGTGATATTTTACACAAATTTTTGAATAAGACGAGTGGTCAAACTTGGTGTCAAAAAAGTCAAACATCTTACAATTTGGAATGGATTGAGTAGTTTGGAAGGTCAAGTGCCTTGCAATGATACCTTTTGATATTTATGATCAATGCTACAGAAAGACGGAAATATTGATGAAGATGTTAGCTATAGAATCAAAGCAGGGTGGATAAAGTGGCGTCAAGCATCTAATGTCCTATATGACAAAAAGGTACTACATAAGCTAAAAGACAAGTTTTATAGGACGACGATTAGACATGCTATGTTGTATGGTGCAAAATGTTGACCTAAAAAAGACGACATGTTCAATAGATAAGTGTCGCGAAAATACGTATATTGCGTTGGATTTGCGGTCATACAAGAAGGGATCGAGTTCGGAGCGATGATATACGTGATAGATTAGGGGTAGCACCAATTGAAGAAAAACTTATCCAACACCGGTTGAGATGGTTTGGACATGTCCAATGGAGACCTCTAGAGGCATCGGTGCGTAGTGGAATCCTAAGCCAGGATAGTAACGTGAAGAGATGCAGAGGAAGACCGAAGTTGACTTGGATAGAGGCAATAAAAGAAGACTTGAAATGATGAAATATACCTAAAGACTTAGCCTTAGATAGAAGTGCTTGAAAAATAGCTATTCACGTGCATGAACCTTGATGATTTCTGCTGGGTTTCAACTCTAGCCTACCACAACTTGTTTTAGACATAAAGACTTTGTTGTTGTTACGGATGACACTCCTTTGTTTGCCACTTTTATACGTCCTCCTACACAATTGCCATCGCAAACAGTGAACCTCCTATGTTTTTGTTATTTTTGCTGATATGGTACGCCAGCGTGGCAGTGAGCCTGAGAAGGCCTACAGAGCATGCAAAATGACCTATTTACCCATGTTGCTTCTCTCCCTCTACTCGCTGACGCGTGGGCCCCACACGTCAGCTTTGTCTTCAACCTCCAGCCATCACCTGAAGCCGAGCGACCCGACGACTAGCGGGTTCTAGCGGCGGAGGGAGGAGGAGCGACGCGCTGGCACCTAGGTCGTGCTGCTACAGAGTTGCTGCCTCAGAAAAGCTCCCTGCACTTGCTCCTGTTTGCAGTTTCCACGGAGACGGGGTAGAAGACTGGAGCTTGCACGGAGTTACGGCCATGACTGGAGCTCCATCATCACTATCGATCTCCCCCATCCGGCCATCTCTGCTACTCTCAATGGGCTCTGCGAGTTCACAGTGGCATGATGACTTCACCTCGCTACTCGTCGTTCGACAACCCCCTCCCCATTGCTGTGAACCACCGCCGTCGCCGCCATTGCCGTCCCAAGGTCGAGCTCACCGATCTCCGCATACACAGCAGCTCTCGCCTCCCCGTCTCCTTCGTTGGCGCCGCAAGGACCCGCCGTGGCCGCCTATCCACATCTCAGCGCCAATCCATGGCCGCAGTGGCATCTTTCACCTCAACTGAAGCACTCCGCCAGAGAGCCTCGTTTCCACCCGTGGTTGGCTGCCACCAGCCCCTCTTTGCCTCAAGAACTCCTCCATCGACTTCGCGCGCGGTGTCTTGCTCGTCGTCCTCGGCTACTCGGCAGCCATGGAGGGATGATGAAGCTAGAGGTGCTTGGCTCCCATCCAGGTGCTGGAGGTGTGAGATGAAGCTTGAGGTGCCTGGCTCCCATCCGTGGCTGGAGGTTGAAGACAAAGCTGACGTGTGGGGCCCACGCGTTAGCAAGTAGACGGAGAGAAGCAACAGGGGTAAATAGATCATTTCACATGCTCTGTAGACCTTCGCATGCTCACTGCCACACTGGCGTGCCCAACTGGCGTGCCATATCAGCAAAAATGGTAAAAACGTAGGAGGTTCACTGTTTACGATAGCAATTGTGTAGGAACGCGTATCTCTACCCCTATAATACACAACTTCAAATTATCCTACAACCACCAAACAAATCTCACATCTACAGTGATAACCTAAACTACGTCCACCCTACGAAACGCACACAGATAAAGATCACATTAAAAACGTACACACCGGTTAACTCTCACTCATTCTCTCTCTTTACTCAACCACATCCGACGGTCCTGCTTCTTTGGATGTGCCTTGCCCCAGCGACCGCCCACGCCCCCACCCCAGCGACGTGAGACCATAGCACCCTGACGCGAGATCGTGCCCCTGCCCTAGCGACGCCTGCAACCTTCGAGGCTCCACCGGCGCGTGCGGAACCCGTGGCCATCACTCAGACCGCCGCCGCGGCCACCTAGGCTGGACGACGAGGCAAATAGCCGGCCGCTCGTGATGTCCAGGAGGTACGACATGCACTTCTCGACGTCCAGCTTCATCAGGCGACGGAACCCAACAGGGCGGTGCTGAGGATGGGGCCATTGCGACACGCCTGAACCCTAAACCTCGTTGAACGGGTACGACACGGCGACGCACCTGATGGAGGAGACAAAAAACATCGACAAGAACGGCTCCATCGCTATCCTCTGCAGCATCGGCATCATCTCCGTCTTCGGTTGGGCGTACATCCTGGCCCTCATCTTCAGCATCCAAAAAACGCCGACAAGAACGGCCCCATCGCTATCCTCTACAGCATCGGCATCATCTCCGTCTTGGTCGGGCGTACATCCCGCCCTCATCTCCGAGATCTAGGTACTTGCTTGTTGAGGAAACTAACACACGTGCAATGCATTGCAGTCAACTGTCGATTCCTCTCACAAATGTCATTCGATGTCAGATTAATTGATTAAGAAAAAAATTATTCTATAATATTTGAAACTGCATAGAGAAGGTAGCAATGCGGATGTGGTAGCTAGATAGAGATAGCAATGCAACGTCCTGATATTTGCATCTTTCATATTCCTATGGATCTACATGAATTCTACTGTGGTTAATTAAAAATAAAAAAGGCCATGTCAAACCAAAAAGCAGATCAGAGTGTTTTAGATGACATAACAAACAACAACACAGGTACGAGCGCTTCCTAGGCTGTGGCGGAGTTACTTTCATATTTTTATAACCTTCTCAGTTTTAGTTCAACCACCTGTGGATGAGGCTGAGCGGAAGAGGGAAGAGAGGAATAGAAAACAACAAGAATACCGAGCAAGGATAAAGGCTAACGAAACTGACGAGCAGAGAGAAGAGAGGAATAAAAGGCGTCGGGAACAACGAGTATTGAAGAGGACAGAGTCATCGACGCATAATATAGGGCCTGATCATGGTATTGCTTATTTTTTTTAATAATGCTTCCTTTATTTTTTTTCAATGTTGATCTTACTCCTTGATTAATGATAGGTCAACAAGCACCATATGGAGTGTGTTCAGGTATTCTCCAAGCATCAGATGCTGAGGACAAGGGAAATGTGTGCCCGGAAAACAATACGGATTGGCTACATAAAAATTATAATTATGTCCGTACAAGACAACTGACCTCTCATACTTCATGTGTGCCCAACAGCCTGACAAGCCACAATCTGTTCAATGCAACAACAACTCCAGGTGCCATCTTTGTATTTTTTTCATTTTTGCAATCCATGTTGCAACTTCGATAATGACAATGTTTTCCACCCAATGGTGATCAGTTACTAGCTCAAATAGGCAAAGGGCCCTCGCAAAACGAGAGAGGTACAATAATATGAATGAACACAACAAGGAAAACATGTTGCAGAGAAATAGGGACCGCAAGAAAAAGATGAAGACATAGTCGGCAAAGGAAATATTGCATACAGTACAAAATGATATAGAATATGATGGTGCCTTGTTCGAGCCTATAAACAATCAATCTGATGAAGGTGCGTTCATTTTCTTTTTTTCCAACAAAAAAGCACATTTATTTTATTTTGATAACACACTCAGTCAATGTGTTCTATACCTAATTGTTGGACCAAACATCATGCAGAGGACCATCTGGAGGCACCTCGTGCTTTGGATATTGATGATCTTCTTGATGACGAAGAGACCAGGCAGTACATTGGTGAAGGTAAATTTATTTTGTGTGGCGCCTTTGAGTAAATTAATTTTGGTGAAGGTAAAATTTATTAATGTTGTGTAATGACGGCCAGTGCTTGCTTCATAGCAGATGGTGCCTTCGAGTCCTATCGTGTCAGTGTTGATGGTGTTGATCTGAATAACAATGAAGATCCTTACGATTATGTCTACCAAAATTTGTCCGATAGGCACCATGTTCTGAGAAAGGTGCCTAACTGCTTGTACTATGGAGCAATGAAATTTCAATATCTGTTGTAGAAAAGGAAAGATAAAAGTACATGTTCCACAAGTGCCTGATGAGTTAAAAAGGTTATTCACAAGTCAGGTAGATAATGATGCATAATATTTCAGGCAAAATATCCGGTACTTCAACTCTCATTTCTCTTTCACGAGCCTTGGAGTAACCTTGGATCGACGAGTTGCCACCGCGGCAGGGACTGATATATATACATTTCATGTGCATGGGGCCTTGTACCATCGCCTAGACCATTTGGTCCCAGGTTCTAAAGGGGCTCGCCACTTGCAACTCTACTTTTATGATACGGAGGATGACAGTTTGGCGCACAGAAAGAAGAGATCGCCTGACCTAGATATCAATCTTATCAGAACTGTGCTGCGAATAATGGAAGGCAACCCATATGTACAGATCTTTAACAGAGTTGGAGTTATTTTGAATCTTGATGACTATGTAATTGAACTCAATACTAATGTCACACTAGACCAACGAAGGTACGCATGTTCAGGAATATGTTTATGTATTACAATAGATTATTATTCTACTACAAATAAATTTGATTTATTTGTACTACTAAATATATGTTCCTTTGCTGAAAACAAGGTACAATGCACCCACTGACGTCATTGTGTAGCGATTTATCCGGTCGATGGCAACGATCCCCAAAGATGTTTTGATAGGAGTGTGCTTGTGTATGCCAGAGGGGATCGCCCGCGCTATATCAAAGCATATCATGGATGTTATGATCCATTGGCATATCCGTTATTTAAACCTAAGGGTGAAACTGGCTGGAATAAATTTATGTCGTACAATGATACAGTGACTGATAAGGAAGGACACACCTCGGTGGATCCAACAGAAGCAACAGATCCAACAGGTACCAAACATGGTTTAATTTCCAATGCCTTAATAAAACGCATGGATACATACTAATATATATTTTTTGGTTAGAGATAGAGCAAGGTGAGGATGATGCGGACGTACAACAAGGTGAAAACATGAGTACCATGGTGGAGGAACGACAATCTGGGAGATTTGTGACAGCAAGAGAGTACTATTGTTATTTGATGCAAGTTAGAGAGGGGCTTTTTAACATATTGCTATTCAACAATGGGTCGTTGACATGTACGTAAAGATCGAGTGAGGCTTGATTGGTATTCTAACCCTGATAACTAGAAACTCATACGGGCGGAACTATATCAGGTGAGTTATGCAATGTTTTATTATTTGCAATATAATATGACAACAATTCAAAACTAAAAAAAAACATACATGCTCTATATTTTTTATTTTTATGTAGGGTTTGGTTGATGTAATTTCTGTTGGAGAGACAAGGGCTTCAGAGGTTAGCAAGAGAGTAGTGCTACCCCGTAGTTTCTCAAGTGGCGATCGTGACATGATGCAAAGATTTCTTAATGAAATGGCTATAGTCCAGCGTTTTGGAAAACCAGATTACTTTATCACCATGACTTGCAATCCGTACCGGGAGGAGATTACTCAAAATCTTGAGCCTGGCCAACAACCACAAAATAGACCAGAGCTGGTTTCAAGAGTATACAGGGCCAAGCTGCGGTCCTTGATGGATTTATTGATCAAGAAAAAGTATTTTGGAGAGGTGGCAGCATATGTCCATGTCACTAAATTCCAAAAGAGGGGGCTTCCACATGAACACATCCTACTAATTATGAAGAAAGGCAGTAACTTAACAACCCCAGATGCTTATGACAAAGTCATTTCTGCAGAGCTACCAAACAAGGATAAATACCCTTTGTTGCATATCCTGGTCATTAAGCATATGCTGCATGGCCCATGTGGGGTCTTGAATAGAAAGTGTGCTTGTATGGTTAATGGAGAATGCCGCTTTCGCTATCCTAGACAGTTTTGTGCAGCAATGTAGCAAGGCAAAGATTCATATCCTTTGTATAGGAGGAGGGATGATGGACGTCGTGTGAAAGTAAGAGGTGCCAAGTTGGACAATAGGTGGGTGGTTCCATACAATCCTGGGCTACTTATGACATATAATTGCCACATAAGTGTTGAAGCTTGCTCAAGCATCAAAGCTTGTAAGTACTTGTTTAAGTATGTACACAAAGGCCACGACCGTGCATCATACTATGTTGATCCTGCTGGAGTAATCAATGAGATCCATCAGTACAGGGATGCTAGATACATATCACCCCCGGAAGCTGTACATAGGATTTTTGGCTTCCACCTTTTTGGAGTTTGTCCATTTGTTTTGCAGCTCCAGTGTCATCTACCTAATATGCAGTCTGTTATTATTGAGGAGACAGCCAATCTCAAGGATGTTGTAAAAAAACCATCCGCAACTATGACGACACTCACGTAATACTTCACGTTGAACCGTGATGATAGTCATGCAAGGAAATTCTTATATAGAGAGATCCCAGAACACTACCGGTGGATTAGTGGTAAGAAGGCATGTCAAAGAAGAAAGCAGAGGGGACAGGTGGGGCGTATTGTGTATGCACACCCGGCTAAAGGAGAAAGATATTTCTTGAGAGTACTTCTAAATCATGTACGAGGTGCAACCTTATTTAAGAATTTACGGACAGTTGCTAGAATCATGTACCCTACTTTCAGAGAAACATGCGAGAAGAGAGAACTCATAGAAAGGGATCAGACTATTGATGACTGCTTGAGTGAGGCAACAACTTTTCAGATGCCAGCAGCTCTGCGACGGTTATTTGCGACTATTCTTGTATTTTGTGAGGCCACCAACATCCATGGATTGTGGGACAAGCACAAGGAATCTTTCTCCAAAGATTATAGTCGAAACAATCCAAACACAACAGCAGTAGAACAAATGGTTCTCAGAGACATTCGGGATTTAATTCAGTCAATGGGAAAGGATATAAGGAATTATGATCTACCTGGGCTAAATGATATGGGTAATATTTTCAGCGTTAATATTATTCTAAAAAATATTTTATTGTCTGGTAAAATACATAATTCTAATACTTTAATATCTGGATGTCAATACAGTAACTATTTCATATATTATTTACTTATTCCATATATTTATTTACTTATTCCATTATCATTTTCTTGTGTCAAGCAGATGAATTTAACAATGACATTATGAAAGAGGTTAGGGAGGAACTGGCTGTGCCTGTCGACCAAGAACATTTGGATATGTATGCTTCTCTTAACAAGGAACAACGAGAAGGATTTGATGAAATATTAAATTGTGTACTGAATAAGAAGAGTCAAGTGTTTTTCGTGGATGGTCCAGGAGGAACAGGAAAGACATTCCTATATAAGGCACTTCTTGGTAGAGTGCGCTCAGAGGGATTAATTGCCATTGCAACTGCAACTTCAGGTATTGCGGCGTCCATATTGCCCGGAGGACGCACAACACACACAAGGTTCAAAATCCCAATTAAGCTTGCTAACAATAGCACATGCACCTTCACAAAGCAAAGTGGCACTGCAGAGTTACTGCGTACGGCATCCTTGATTATCTGGGATAAAGTAGCAATGACAAAGCGGCTAGCAGTGAAGTGTCTTGATTGGTCCCTCTAGGATGTTATGAATTCTTGTTTGCCATTTGGGGGAAATGTTATGGTATTTGGTGGAGATTTTAGACAGGTGCTACATGTGGTACCACATGGGACAAGAGCACAGGTAACAGATGCTACATTGCAATGATCTTATTTGTGGGAAAGAATAAGGAAGATACGATTGTCATGAAACATGAGGGCTCAGTCTGACCCATGGTTTGCAGATTACCTCCTTAGAATTGGGAATGGAACCGAAGAGACAATTGGAGATGATTATGTTCGTCTTCTAGATGATATTTTGATTGAGTATACTAACAATGAAGAATCGGTAAACAACCTCATTCAAGAAGTCTTCCTATCACTTGAGAAAAATGCAAGATCATCAGCTTATATGAGCAAACGTGCCATCCTGTCTACCACAAATGAACATGTGGATTAGCTAAATGCAAGTATGATTGACAAATTTCCAGGTGAGGAAAAGGTTTATCATAGCTTCGACTCTGTTGATAATGACTCAAGGAATAACTATCCTATTGACTTCTTGAACTCCATCACTCCAAATGGTCTCCCCCCACATGAGCTCAAAATAAAAACCAACTGCCCTGTGATCCTTCTCCACAATCCTGGTCCTAACAATGGTTTGTGCAATGGAACAAGACTAATGGTTAGAGCATTCCAAGACAATGCAATTGATGTAGAAATAGTTGGTGGACAACATGCAGGAGAAAAGGGTGTTCATACCTAGAATCCCTATGTCTCCATCGGATGATATTTCACTTCCTTTCAAGTTCAAAAGGAAGCAATTCCCAATTCGTTTGAGCTTTGTGGTGACAATAAATAAGGCTCAAGGGCAAACCATCCCACATGTTGGGATCTATCTTCCAGAGCTAGTGTTCTCACATGGGTAGCTCTATGTTGCTTTGTCGAGGGGTGTGTCTAGGCAAACAACAAGAATATTGGTCAAACCAAACAAGGAATTAGATCCAACAGGGAAGTGCACCAAGAATATAGTGTATAAAGATGTCCTGTATTGGTGACAAGGTGGTTAGTAATGTCCTAAATGACTATATTTTTTTTAATATTTTTTAATCTCTATAATACCTCTCCTTGGTCTCCATTGAAGGGATTGATATGGCGCTACTGGGTGGGTTGAGGTCTGTGCTCTCCACCGAGCTGGGTCTGTGCTCTCCATTAGACCAGAAAAGCTGAAGCTCGCTGGGTGGGTTGAGGTCTGTGCTCTCCACCGAGCTGCTCTAGATGCTGTAGGCCTGTGGCTGCCGTATCCACTGGGTCGACAAGCCGCTTGTCTACAAGGGATGAGCTTGAACCGACTTGGCAAATCAAGGAGACAGCCATCCTTGTGATCGAGGGCGACCTTTGGTCGAAGGCAGTTTAGATCGACGGTGTCTGTAACCTGTCCTTCAATGGAGTGTGCAAACTTTTAGAGTTCTCAAATATGATGACTGTCTAATTTTAGAACGCGTCTCTGTAACTGGCATTTG